GAGGGGGGAGTAAGGAGAGTAGCTGAAAAGCTCTCAGAAGAACACATTTAGGTATTCCCCCAAAGTAAAGGATGAGAGAAGATAGAAGGGGTTAATTATTGTGAATTTTCTTGCGAATTGAGCCAGGATTTGAGCAGGGAGGGGAGAAGCTGATGAAGACTATACCAGGAGCTTCCAATTAGAAGGGTGGTTTAAAGAAATACACTGTGCCCTGGCTCTTCCCAGTCAAACAGGTGTTCAAGGAGCTGGAGTTTCTGGGTTGGTATACCACCGGGGGGCCGCCTGACCCCTCTGACATCCACGTCCATAAGCAGGTAACATGTTCACGCGCGCGTGCTGGGGCAGAGCATGAGGGTGAGGGGAAGAAAGATGGGCGTTTAACACGTGTGTCCACTGCCCCCTCTTCCAGGTGTGCGAGATAATCGAGAGCCCTCTCTTTCTTAAGTTGAACCCTATGACCAAACACACAGATGTAAGTAATACTGATCCCGAGCTCCCGGTGTCGTGCTTGTCGATCACTGTGCCTATTTTTTTATCCTCCTCCCCTGTTCTCTGTACATCTGTTGGGTTAAGTCTTCACTTGGGGTGAACTCTCCCGCTTACCAGCTGTGTGACCTTGGGTTAGTCTTTTAACCGCAACTGTTTTTTTGCCTCACGTGGAAGATGAGGATAATCCCTACATCATTGGGTCCTCGGGAAGATTAGATGAGAACATCTGTGGAAGAGCTCCGCCTGGCTTTTGGCATATAGTGGAAGCTTGGGTGTGCTTGATGTCGATAAGAGCTGTTCTCCATTGCTTCCTTACAGCTTCCCGTCAGTGTTTTTGAGTCTGTCATCGATATAATCAATGGAGAGGTAATGCCCGACCCTTTAACCCTCAAGACATTGCTCCTGGCCTTTTTCTGCTTCTCACTGTCCCTTGGCACTCCACAGGCCACAATGCTGTTTGCTGAGCTGACCTACACTCTGGCCACAGAGGAAGCTGAACGCATCGGTGTAGACCACGTAGCCCGAATGACAGCCACAGGCAGCGGGGAGAACTCCACTGGTAATGAAGGCTGGAGGAGCTCCTTCAGCAGTTGGGGTGGAAACTGTTGCCGTGTGCTTTTTCAACCTTGGCCTCTCCCCGTCTCCCTGCAGTGGCTGAACACCTGATAGCGCAACACAGTGCCATCAAGATGCTGCACAGCCGGGTCAAGCTCATCTTGGAATACGTCAAGGCCTCTGAAGCAGGTAGGACAGGTGAACCGCTTTTCCTCTCCCTCTTGGGGAAGTGACCGCATCCACATTAATGCAGTCTTTCTGTGCCTTTAGGGGAGGTCCCCTTTAATCATGAGATCCTGCGGGAGGCCTATGCTCTGTGTCACTGCCTTCCCGTGCTCAGCACGGACAAGTTCAAGACAGACTTCTACGATGTGAGTATAAAACCAAGGGTGGGTGGGGAGGTGGGGCTGATGGATGTAACTTCTGCACGTGGGAAGTGAACTCAGCCGTTCCCTGGGCAACCAGTTTTCTGTTCCTCCCAGCAATGTAACGACGTGGGGCTCATGGCCTACCTTGGCACCATCACCAAAACGTGCAACACCATGAACCAGTTTGTGAACAAGTTCAACGTCCTCTATGATCGACAAGGCATCGGCAGGCGGATGCGGGGGCTCTTCTTCTGAGGGTGCTTGAAGGGACGATGCACAGGTTGGACAGTGGTCCCACAGGGGAGGGGTGTTACACTCCCTTTAGAGAAACCTCTGTCAATAATAAAAGGGGAGCAGCCCCTCAGCACCCCTTCCGATGGCTCTGTCCTCTCTGTTGGGCCCCATGCTGGTTTCTCAACTTGGATCTTAAAAGGAGGCCCTTAGTTCCAGCCTTGCTCGGGCAGGACATCCTGTGGGGACTGGGAGCTCACTGCCACTTGAGGTGACCCCTCGTCCAGTCCGGTGGATCATATCTATACTGAGCCAAAGGCTGCTTGCTCCCACTTCAGCCATCTGTGTTCTCTTTAAGGTTTCTCTGGGACAGCAGTGCATACAGACCAACCTCTAAACTTGACCAATGACTGCTCCCCAAAGCTAAGTGAATTTAAGTCTTTTTCACAAAGGAGCAGGGGTATTGAGCAGGTTTCTAGGAGGGACAACCTGAAAGCTTTGACCCCATGGACACAGTTTACTGCTGAGAGGGAGAGGTTTCTCATTGCTGTTTACTGAATACTGATCACACAGATGTCTACACCTGACCTGTAGTACCTCAACCCTAAGAGGCAGAGGTTCCAGTGCCCATACTTCACACACTTTCTTAACCTTGGCACGTCCCTGTCTATAACTCCCAGAATTTACAGTCTGGGAAGCAGCAAGGAACATCAGTGTGGGCAGGCGTAATGGGTGCTTTACAGAGTAAATTCACAGAGTGAACAAGATAGGAATCTAGGAAACTCATGATACCTCGTATGAACAGAATACAGCAACCTACACATGCTTTATTAGCAAAAAGAATAAAACAAGTGCAGCTCAGGAGAAAAGAGCAGGTCCCTCCTCTCCCTGCAAAGGCATCATCAGACCGTTCCAGGAAGGGGTGGGTCGGCACACGGGACGCAGAGTGGACCCCAGGGTCTCAAGCTGATTGGAATCAAACAAAAGTGATCCGTGTCCGGGCAGTATTAACCTGCCAGACGTTTAACTCCTCATACTCATCTAGAGCCGCCTGGAACTGGGCAGGTGTGAAGCCACGGGAGATGCAGCGCTGCTCCGCTTCTGAAAACCGGACACTTCGGCCCTCTGAGACCAACTCCCGGACTGTGGCAAATATCACATCTGCTGGTCTCTGGGTCCTGAAGGGAACAGCATGGCTGTGTAAGGTCAGAGTACAAACAACAGGCAGCACGTCGGGAACACAGGCCAGTGGTACAACTCCAAAGCCAACGTCACGTACGTGTGGATGCAGAAGCCATAAGGATGAGACGGTCAAGGTGACTCCTGATTTCGTTGTTTAAACCACTCACCTCGCCGTTTGCCCCTTGTCACCCAGAAGCGAGTCCTTGGACATCTCCATTAGCCGTATGGCTTCGTTCACATCTTCCTTCTCTACCATGTCCACCATCCGCAGCCGTGCCTGCGGGAAAGGGGGGGGGGGGGGAAGAGATGGAAACGGGAGGGGATGGAACTCGGGTCAGGGGACCCCCTCGCTCTAGCTTTCAACAGGCAGCCCACAGGGCGCGAGCAGAGGCCCCCCCTCCACCCCCCCAGCGTCCGCAGCACGGGGCCGGCACTGTCAGACCGAGACAAGTGCAATGCGCGGGCAGCGTCCAGCAATTGCCCAAGTCTCCGCCTCTCAACGCTGGCCAGTCCCGGGTTCAGCTGTCCTGTGCGGGAGACCAGACCCCGCTGAGCGCCCCCGGGCTCCCCACCACGACAGTGCTGACAGAGCAGGGGGAGCTCGGCCAAGAAGGCAATGGCAGAGAGGTTGCGTCCCCGGGGCTCGGGAAGTGCTAGCTCAGCAGTAGGTCGGGTAATCACACTACCTGCACGAACAGCACTTTGGAGCCCCCAGGACTAAGGTCCAAGGTGTACGGACAGAAGTGCGGGTTTCTAGCAAGGATCCAGGACACAGGCAGTGAAGTGAACCCTGCCCGCCCTGCAGGGGGGCCGGAAGAGCGGGGAGAAGGCCTTTCCCTCCAGGGACGCCGTGCGTGCCCTGCTGGAGCAGCAAGTACCCACAGTGCGGTAGCACGCAGGACCGCTATCTGCACTGTCAGCACTTTAGCACCAGCAGGGCCTGAGTGGGAGGGAGGCGGCCACGGGAGGAGCATGCTGCACGGGGTGCCCGGGCAGTCCGAGCGGACCACCCGCTGGTGGAGTGGGACCGCGCACTCACCAGAGCAGTGGACAGCCGCAGGATCGCCAGTAGCGTCCGGGCGGAGGTGTAGGTGGCGTCCTTGCTGGCCCAAGCTTCCCGCCTCATCTCCACGTATGCGGCTGTGATGTAGTCCGCCAGAGACTCTGGCACTGTGGGCTGCTTCTCCCGGCACATGGCTATGTAGCGCCTACGGGAGAGAAGGTTCGCGGGAGAGGAGAGTTTGGCATTTAAGAAAATACTCTGGGGTGGGGAGCAGTTTTAAGCGGGAAGAACAAATTAACTTGAATGTCACGGATGGGTTTCTGTAAATGGCACGTTCCAACTTATTTCTAATTTTCCGGAAAAAGGATCTTTATACCAGTAAGACAGATCCACTTATAAAAGATGGTAAAGTACTTCCCCTGAACCTAAGACGTGACTAAAGGGAGCAGAAATACATTTCATTTACTTCAAGAGAAAAAAAGTGAAAGTGAAGGAGAGGTTGGGGGATCACCAGGAGATCCACCCTGTGGAGAAAATGACAACATCAAGTCCACGGAGCAGCATCCAGCTCTGATCTGAACCTGCCTCAACCCTGAGACGGGCAGGTGGTGGGTGTGAAAGGTTCTGATGCTGGTTCTTCTTGTGAAGCCAGACCTGGGGTGCCTGGACCCCCTGTTCACAGACCCCACAGAGCAGAGCGAGTGGCAGTGAAAAATGACCCAGAATGGAAAGCTCTCCAGGAGACACAGATCAGCCCAAGATGCTGCCACACATGGCTATGGGTCAAGCACACTGGCCTTTCCGCAGCTCTCCTACCTCATCAGCTTCATGTCCAGAGGTTCAAATTGGGCTGGCGGCTGGCGGCTGTGCTGGTGCACATACGTGATGTGCTGGGCCAACCTGGGAAGAGTGGAGGCAGCTAGAAACATTCCTCTTGGGGCTACACATCCCACGCCCTGTCTCTTGACCTGTGTGCCTTAGCTCTGCCATCTTCACAGTGCAGGAGGGAGGCTCTCCCAGGAAATCACCAGTGTTTCAGTCCCACCCCTCCATTTTCCTAAAGAACTGTGGACTAGTTCCTGCAGTAAGAGAGGAAGGCTCTGGAGTTTCCACAAGCAGGGAATCGGAGGGGGTTTCTGATGTCTTCTCTCTCCCTTCAGATCATTAGAGCATATGTGTCCTTGAATGTTGGATTCACTCACCGTAGGTCATTGTCTCGGTCAGGCCGGTCCTGGATCAGCCAGAGAAGGTCGAATCGGGAGAGCAGTGCAGCAGGAAGCTGTATGTTCTGCTCCAGGCTGCGGCGAGGGTTGTAGCGCCCATAGGCAGGATTGGCGGCAGCCAGGATGGAACAGCGGGCATTGAGCGTGGTGAGAATGCCGGCTTTGGCAATGGAGATGGTCTGCTGCTCCATGACCTCGTGGATGGCCGTGCGGTCAGCCTCAGCCATTTTGTCAAACTCGTCGATACAGCACACCCCCTGGTCAGCCAGCACGAGGGCCCCCCCCTCCAAGGTCAGCTCTCCAGTCACGGAGTCCCTCAGCACAGCCGCCGTGAGCCCCACTCCTGAGGAGCCCCGGCCCGTTGTGTACTGGCCTAAATGGCAGAAACAGGAAAAAAACAGACACACTGAAGCAGAGAAAAAGAACAATGAAAGAAGAACAGGGCAGAAATGAGGCCTGCGCCGGGACCGCTCCACCTACCTGCCGGGTCCAGGCCTTCCCAAGGCGGCTGAAGATCCGTGCAGCACCAGCTCCACACCCACCCACCTCCACCCCCCCCCGTCCCCCCTCCACCCCAGCTGGTACGGGTACTTCTCCTAGGGCCCAATACTCACTACGGGGCGCCAGGCGATCGATGTAAGACAGAAGCTGAGACTTGGCCACACCTGGATCCCCCATCAGGCAGATGTTGATGTTGCCTGGCAGGGAGGAAAGCCCCGGGTGAGGCTTGAGTGCAAGCTGCCCAACGACAGAGACCCGTACCTTTGAAATCTGCCCCGACACCCAGCATCCCTTCCCCTCCTCCCTCCCTGCGCCCAGGAGACCAAGCTACAGACTCTTACTCTGTGACACGGAGGTCACAGATCTGATCTGTGTCATGGGACAGCGGCTGACATCCTTCCTTCCTCCTGGCCGCCCCCCTTGTTTCCCCGCTTACCCCTGATCTTCATGCCCCGAGGAGACTGGTCCACCCCTCCCACCAGCAGGAGCAGCAGGGCCTTCTTCACGTCTTCATGCCCATAGATCTCCGGGGCGATGGAGGCGGCCAGCTTCTCATAGAAATCTTCCTCTGCACAGAAGTTTATACAGAACATTGGGAGCGGGATGGGGGTGCTGGGAAGGAACCTCTGTTCCCAGGCTTCGTCAGGCCCCTCACCTGCAATTCGCCTCAGCTCCTCCCTGCTCAGCTCTCCGGCTGCAGACTCGTCATCCTCACTCTTGCTCATCTTCACGACCCGATGAGCTTCCAGGTAAGTTTCTGAGAGGAGACCCTTGGGGAGGAGAATGCCAGGGTACGGATGAAGGTCCTTGAATTTGCCTGTTCACGCGACTCCCTCAGGAGTTCCTGACAAAACCCTGTGCTACTTTGCTGTTGACTGTTCTCCCTGCGGAGCAGTGAGGAGGGAGGGGACGAGAAGGAAAGAGGAAGTTTCCTCCTCCTTTCAAACCCCCTCACTTACCTGCACCACCTGTCGGAACCCAGAGCGCAGGATCGGCAAGAAGATGCCAGTGACACTGACGTGGTCCCCAGGCTGGGCGATCCTCGTGTTCTCTCCCTCTACCAGCACCGTGATGCTACGGGGAATGTTCCCCACAGGCACTTGGTCACTCTACAAGGGAGAAGGCGCACAGGCGGGAGAAAGGGACACAGTTGATGAGGACCTCACCTTCCCTGCCCAGGCCTCCCACCTCCTGCTTCTCAGCCTCAGATGCACCAACAGGAAAAGAGAGCCAGAGATCGTCTTTACCCCTTCTTTACTCCACCAGAAAGTTCCAGTTAAACCTCCCTCCTGCTCTAAGGAACTTCTCGGTTTCAGCCTCTGTTTTTCTTGCTTTCTTTCACTCTGTACGTGACTGCAGAATTCGAGTGGACACCCAGTCTCCACCTTCCCTGGGCCACATACCCCAAACTCACATGTTCCTGCATCTTTATCTCCTGGAATTTGATGAATTTGGAGCCACGTGTCTGCAGATATAGCCGTCCTCCTGAGCGGTTGGTCTGGCACTCCTGGCTGGGACACATGATCAGGGGCATGAAAGTAGGAGACTGGATCTGGGATATGAGAAAGGAAACACCAAAGGAAACCAGTGACATGAATCACACTTCCTCTTCGTGGCACGTACCACAAACTGCTCAGAGTGCCTTGACCTATCCCAAGTCAGTAACCACAGGCACCAAGAACACAAAACGGATGGAAAGACCACTGGGTACCAAAAAGAGAATGAAAGATGAATATGCAGTCGTGTCTCACAACCGACGCGATGACAGGTTAACACCAATAGACAAAATGAGTTCTTAGGGAAACCGCTAACAGTAAACGCGTTCCTGTTCTTTTCTCCACACATACCGGCTGGTAGGTCTCTGCCCCACACTGGTCACAAGTATAAGTGGCCACCACCATTCTGGGTTTGACTTCGGAGACACGAGTGACGATTCCACGCACAGTTACCAATTTCCCCACAGAGTCAGCCCGTACTTCCCGTATCACGCGAGGCTTGTTACTGCTTGGCCCTTGAAAGTACAGCTCGCTAAGAGAAGAAAACAGTAGTTATTCAAGTCCCAGAGAACAAATTCCCACACCCTTCCCCACCGAGACCACTCACAATCTGCGCATGAGCTCAGGGGGGTACTGGTTCTGCGGGCTTCGGGCTGCCCCAGGGTCCCGGCTCCGCTGCTCCATCATCAACCGATGTTCAATGTAAACATCCAGGACGTCTTTATTAGTCACCTAAGGACAGAAAAAAATGAATGGCAGAACGAGGAAAAGGAAAGATCGTGAAGGGCACCAGGCAGAAATTAATTGCCCTATTTCTGCCAGCTCAAAAAACACCAGTATCTGAGAAGCTTCCCAAAAGCAACCCGTTTCTCGCTTTGCATTTTCCTGCAACCACTCACCTCTCTCTCCTTGTACTGAGGAAGCAGCTCTTGCACAGCATCAGCAAAGAGCCTTGCGTAGCGCCTGGCATTCTCACAAATGGAGTCCACCAACTCAGGGTCGTCCTCTGCTACATCATCTAGGTCTATGTACATTGCCACTTGTTCCCGATGAGCCAGTCGAACCTGGGGTAAGGAAGAGACAACAGAGCCATGTTTACCATGCTCAGCAGTGCCCACCACCCACAGGAGAGAGGAACAAAGCAACACTTACTTCTTAGCCTCCAAACTTCTAAAACATCTTAATCATCGTGCACGTAGACTTAAATTCACTTACCAGACGTTAGATAGAATGCTAAATGTGTCACTCACGTCTATGCTTGCTTAAACAAACCAGGCCCCCTCTTAAGAGCTCCTTGAGCCACCACCCATTTCCTCCACTTCATCTTAGACTCACCAATTGGTTCCCGTACTTGAATTGCTTCTTGCCAAATTCATCATCCTGGTAAAACTCTTGCAGGAACTTTTTAACCTTTTCTGTAAGGAAAACGTAAAATCATGATAATCTGTCTCAGATACTTTACCCAAGCTCCCTTGATGTGGATCTAAAGAACTCACTCTCTTTACAAAATATATGAATTTGTCAGTTTACCTAAAAATCTAAGTAAGCCTACTTAATTCTTCCGGAGTAGGGCAGAACTCCTTTTAACAAGTCTGTTTTTATCTAGGGAAGAAGGGGCCCCTGGCAGTTAAGAACATTACCCAAAAACCTCCCCCGAGGGGAATTCCAGTTTCTGCCTTAAAAAAATCTCAGTACCCTTTTCCAAAAGCTTCCCACACACTCAGATCTCAAGGTTCCCCACTTCTCTTCCATGCGCACGATTCTCCCTTTCCTTTCGGCCTCCTAAATATCTCCACCAAGCCCGTCCTCCACCCCACCCCCTCTCCCGCCACTGCTTCCGCTCTTAGTAAACAAAGAAGCACATGGGCCCAGATGCAGCCGCCTCACAGCCCGGGATTCTTCCGCCAAGGCGGGATCCCGTCCGGCAATTGCCCTGCCTGTTCCGGGCCACTCCGTCCCACCCCACCACCTCCTCTTGGCCTCCCGCTAAACCCCCCGATTCCAGGCACGCCCCCACCCTGAGCAGCTCTCTCCAAGGCCGCCGCGCGGAAGGACACTGTTTACACACGACACTCCCTCCAGCAACGTCGCGCAACTTCCGCCCGCCTTCACTTCCGCTTGGAGGTTGGCCTGAGATGGCCAATAGCGGCGCTCAGCGGCCCGGGCCTGCCCGCCCTCGGGGCTTCGGCGCGTCTCCCGAGAACGCGGGCACTCCGAATGCCTAAGGACGCAGACCGAAGCGGACCCGGGTGTCCGTCCCTGCGGCGAAAGGCCCCTGCACAGGGTCTCCTGAGGTCCCGGTCTCTCCTGGGCGCGACTCTCCCCCTATGGAGCCCCGAGTCGGGCTGTCTGTCGCCCCCGGCCCCACGACCCCCACTCCTTCCCCAGACACGATAACCGGCTCTTCGAACTAGGAGGCTCGCGCGCCTCCCAGGCACCTTCTGCCTTGGCCCCGCCGCCTCCCGAACCTGCCTTTGGCCTCGCGCGCCAAGCCCAGCCCCCCAGGACTCCAGCCCACACAAACAGGTGTTGGCCAGGAGGCTTTCCGCGTAGGACGCTCCTCCCAGACTGGCATACCCTCACCTTTCTCGAGCACATAGTCCTTAACTGCCATCGCCCGTGCGGCAGCAGTTGGCAGGTTCAAAGATCTCACTCCCGGGACAGCAGAAAACGTACGCGCGGCGGGCTGCTGCGGACCAACCGAAATTGGCGCGAAACGTCGCCCCTCACGTGACCGGCGCCGCCGCGTGCGGGCCTATCAAAGAGGAGGCTCTTTGCCCCTCCCACTCACCGCCGGCCCCAGCCTCGGCCAATCACCCGGCGAGCCTGGGCTGAGTGACAGGGAAGAGGCTCCTGCACCGGGACGGAAAGGCGGGGCGGACGCCGGTTTCCCGCGGTCTGAGGTGGCGCGGGAGGAGAATTGCTCTTAAAGGGCCAGCGTACGCTCGTCCTTTTGTTCCGGGGCCGCAGGGCGGGGCAGGCCCAACTTTCGTTGTCTCCCTGCCTACTCTCCAGAGCCGCCATGATCTCCCAGTTCTTCATTCTTTCCTCCAAAGGGGACCCGCTCATCTACAAGGATTGTATCCTTGACCTACGGGGCAGGAGGGGGGGCCCTGGGTGGGAGTGGTGCCCCAGGGCCAGACTGTATCGCTGGCTCCTTAGCTGTTCTTCCACCCGGTCAGTCCGCGGGGACAGTGGTGGTCGGGATGTGGCCGAGCTCTTCTACCGGAAGCTGACGGGACTGCCCGGAGATGAGTCCCCGGTTGTCATGGTAACCAGTGGCGGGGAGTGGGGGATGCGCCTGGCGGGCAGGGGGCGGGTGGGGAGGGCGCCTCCTTCCTCCCAGGGCTATTTCCCTGAGAGCTTCCGCTTCGGGGGTACGTTACGCCAAATAATGTGAATTCAAGTTTATCAAGAGCTAACAATGCACCAGGCACAGGCTCCTCTCACGTCCCAATCCCCCCGCAACTCCGGGGTGGGTACTATTGGTTACCTCCCCTGACATGTCAGGAAGCTGGACCCCAGGGGGGATGCCCAGGGTTCTCAAGGCACACTGCTAGGAAGTCTCACGGGCCCTTAATCACAGCTCTCTTCCTAATGCTTCTTCCCCACCTCTGCCTCAGCACCACGATGACCGTCATTTTATTCACATCAGACACAGCGGCCTCTATTTGGTGGCCACGACTTCAGAGAACATTTCTCCCTTCAGCCTCCTAGAGCTGCTCTCCCGGTGAGGAGGGCAGGGCTGGGCACCTGGGCGCGGGGATCTGACAGGAGGGGCATATGCACACTCCGACTCGTTTTCTCAGGTTGGCCACTCTCCTGGGCGATTACTGTGGCTCCTTGGGCGAGGGGACCATCTCCCGCAACGTGGCTCTTGTCTATGAGCTCCTGGATGAAGTGCTGGTGAGGGCCAAGCATTTCCCTCACTGCACCCCATTCCTTGCAGATATGCACTGTGGGTGGGAGGCTAAGTCCATTCATTTCCACCCCTTCCCTCCACTGACCTCCCACAGGCTGTCCTTCCTCTGCCCACAGGACTATGGCTACGTGCAGACCACATCCACAGAGATGCTGAGAAACTTCATCCAGACAGAGGCTGTGGTCAGCAAGCCCTTCAGTCTCTTTGACCTCAGCAGTGTTGGCTTGGTCAGTCGAGGGAAAGAGGAGGAGGAGGGGTGGTGGGTAGTGTCAAACCTGAAGATTGCTTGCTTTGGGTGCTTTACAGTTTGGGGCTGAGACGCAGCAGAGCAAAGTGGCCCCCAGCAGTGCAGCCAGCCGCCCTGTCCTGTCCAGCCGCTCTGACCAGGTGAGATGCATCAGACCCTCTGAGTTTTTCCTGGAACACCAGAGAACAAGATCCTGGTGTTCCCAGACGTGGACAGTCCCTTCCCTTCCCCATGTCCCCACCCCAGGGCCCTAGCTTCCACTGGCCTGTCCTTTCTGCCTGTGCACTTTACAACACAGGTCACTCAGCCTCCAAATCCCCTCTCTTCTTCAGAGCCAAAAGAATGAAGTGTTTTTGGATGTGGTCGAGAGGCTGTCTGTACTGATAGCATCTAACGTGAGTTTGGGCCCCCAGCCCTAGAGCAGAGGATAGACGGCTTTTGGGAAATGTATGGGGTCGGGGGCGGGGTGTCACCTCGGGACATTGATCTCTCCGTTCTTCTTAGGGCTCGCTGCTGAAGGTAGACGTGCAGGGAGAGATCCGGCTCAAGAGCTTTCTTCCCAGTGGCTCTGGTGAGAAGTCTGCAGGCTTAGCCCAGGGTCGGGTTTGGAACGGGCTCCTTGGTGGTATGTGAATGTTGGTATCTGGTGGCCTTTTCTGTTCTTTTCTGTGACAGAGATGCGCATTGGCCTGACAGAAGAGTTTTGTGTGGGGAAGTCAGAACTGAGAGGTGAGAAGAAAAGGGGTCCTTCTCTCCTAGGTACAGGTTGCCACCAAAAGTTTCATGGAACAGAGATGGGTTTCCCCCCAGCTACCACCTTGCTGCTCTTCTCACCCACAACGTGGGTTAGGAGAGGACACTTTCTTTCCCTCCAGGTTACGGCCCAGGAATCCGGGTGGATGAGGTCTCATTTCACAGCTCAGTGCTCCTTGAGGAGTTTGAGTCTCATCGAATCCTCCGCTTGCAGCCCCCTCAGGGCGAGGTCAGGATTGGGCTGGCCTAGCACTTTCCATCCTCCGTTGGGAAGGGAGGCAAGTTCAGGTGTGAGGAGACCAAACTGACCTCCATTCCTGTCTGGTCTCAGCTGACTGTGATGCGGTACCAACTCTCAGACGACCTCCCCTCCCCACTCCCCTTCCGGCTCTTTCCCTCTGTGCAGTGGGACCGAGGCTCAGGCAGGTAAGACCATTTTTCTCTTCTAGAACTTTCCCGAAGTCCAAGCTAATGCATATATGTTCCCAAAGCGCATTGTGGAGGAGGGATGATAATAGGTACAAGAAAAAGGCACCCTCCCCCCTATGCAGACTCAGCCCTTAGTGGAGTTGGGCTGGATATCATCCCTTCTCTCTCCTGCTTGGGGCATGACCGACCTATGCAGCAGCCCTGCATGGGGGTCCCGGGTGGGGATGGTGAGAGGCCAGTGAGTAACAGAACCATCCCTTTCACCCAGGCTCCAGGTTTACCTGAAGTTACGATGCGACCTGCCCCCGAAGAGGTACGAGTGGGGGGTTAGCCAGGCCTCGTTCAGTATCATGGGGCAGGACACAGGGCCCAAATACCTGTTGCTTCCCCCTTCGGATGCGTCCGTCAGCTTCGGAATCCCATTCAGTTAGACAGGAAGGCTGGGAAGGGGGTGGGTGTGACACCTGCGCTAGTGGCGTTAATGAAGAGGGGGGACGAGTCACTGCCTTCCCGGGGCTGACTCTGTTCCTCTCTTCTTGGCAGCCAAGCTCTCAACGTCAGGCTGCACCTTCCCCTGCCGCGAGGGGTGATTAGGTTAGTGTTGCAGCCACAGGGCCCGGGAGGTTTTGCCAGCTTCCCCAGGGTAACAGGGTGGTGGCAGGGAGGGTGGGACCAGCCTGTCCCAGGAAGGCAGGCTGAGCGCAGCGCCTGTCATCCCCAAACTCCAGCCTGTCTCAGGAGCTGAGCGGCCCTGAACAGAAGGCAGAGCTCGGGGACGGAGCCCTCCACTGGGACCTGCCTCGGGTGCAAGGCGGCTCCCAGCTGTCAGGCCTTTTCCAGGTACGAGCTGCTGACTCCCTGAGACCCTCTCTTCCAGCTGCATGTTTAGCCCCAACCACCCCTCCTCATGCACTGGACCTGAGCCCCATGCCCTCCCTCCTCTGTGCCTTCAGCACCCTTCCCTGGCCTCTGTCCCTCACAGATGGATGTTCCAGGTCTCCCTGGGCCTTCTGGCCAAGGACCCTCCACCACGGCCCCTCCGCTGGGGCTGGGCCCCGCCAGCCTCTCTTTTGAACTTCCCCGGCACACGTGCTCTGGCCTCCAGGTACGCTTCCTCAGGCTGGCGTTCAGACCCTGCGGCAATGCCAACCCCCACAAGTGGGTGCGACATCTGAGCCACAGTGATGCCTACGTCATTCGGATCTGAGGCTCCCCACATGAGGATGCGGGCAGCAAAGGCAGTAGTCTGTGGAACCAGAGAAGGATGATACTGTCTTTTCCACCCTTCCAGACCGTGGTCATGGACCTGGATGAAATGTCTTGAGTCCTGAGAGTCCAGGAGACCAGTCCTAGTTGACATATTTGACCTTCCTGTGGTACCTGACACAGGAAAGGCCGGGGTGGATCAGAATTTACAAATCAAACTTTTATTCTGAGGAACTGGCTGTACAATATCTAAAAGTAACATGGAAGAAGCAAACCATTACTTCCTTCCACCTAGCGTGTGTGTGTGTGTGTGTGTGAGAGAGAGAGAGAAAGAGAGAGGGAATCGGGGAGAGAAGAAGGTTGGCAGATGTGTGACAGCATTAAGGCGCAGGCTGAGGGGAGCCAGAGCCAGGGGGCTGGGAGCCATTAGTTTTTGGAGTCCCTGGAGCTGGAGGGGGGCTATCCCCAGCTTCCTGTTTCCCTCCACAAAGGGCACTGCCCCCAAGTGGGGAGGGGGCTGAGGATGGGGCAGGAGCTGGAGAAGGATGGGAGGTGGGGCCTCCTTTGCCCTCCCCTGTAGGAGGAAGAGAGACCACGATGTACTTCTGGACGCTGCCCGGACCAGAGGGAGCAGTGCTAGGGGGTGCGGTGGTGGCAGTAGAGACCAGCTTGACGATGGGCTGCACGCTGGGGACCGTGGTGGTGACGGGAGAGGTAGTGGTGGAGCCTGAGCCAGGGGCTGAGGTGCTGAGGGACAGGACCTGGGGGGAGAAAGGAGAGGCACTGCCTGGGGGAGAATTCACCTGTTCCGGCAGAAGAGCTGATGATTCATTCACCTGCTCAGGTGCCTGTAGGCCTGAGACCCGAGCTCAGGATGAGCAGCTATGCCTTATGGCCTCCGTGAAGTGCTCCTTCCTGCTCCTGTCTTTAGGCCCAGGGGGGACTGGGCTCTACTCTGGGGCCCCCAGGGTACTTGGAGGTAACCCTGGTCGTGCTCCGCACCTTCCCCAGTGCCACCTGGGTCCCAGTACCTGTTGAGTGGATGAGGCGCTGGAGGATGAGGACATGACAATAAACTTGGTTGGAGGAGGGGAAGGCTGAGGCGGGGCGGCAGCTCGCGCAGACACCAAGGTCTGCACAGGCAGTGCAATGGAGCCAGGGACCTTCAGCAAGCCAGGGGTCCGAGGGCCAGGCTGAGGGGCCTGGGAGAGGGTCAGCGTGGGCCGGGGCTGCACAAAGAAGAGGCAGGAAGGAAATGTGAAAAGGAGGGGCACTTATTGCTGCTCCTCAGAGGGTCTCCCTTGGGTTGAAGAATCATCCACTAAGGGGACTCAGACCCCCCAAGTCTCACTCAGAGGGCCCTGTGTTTTACAAAAGCAAGCGCGCGTCTGTGAGTCCCCCACCCTGAAAGGGAACCATGGCCCTGTCCCCCCTGCTTGCCCCCTTCCCACATGTTTCCTCATCAGACCCCTCTTCCCCCCAGTCCCTGACCTGAGTGATGGTCAGAGTGGTCCTGTTGACCTGCTGAGCCTGCAGAGCAGCCTGGGCCCGGGCCTTGACAACATGAGAGCAGAGGAGGGGCCCGAGGGACCCAAATTCTGCCCGATAGGCGTCTTGATTGTCAGGTGGTAGGCGCAGCTTTGCCAGAACAGGGGCACAGTGTTTCTGCAGAGAAAGCAAAGAAAAACAAGGTAGGTGGAGAGCTGGGACGCTCAGGAAGTGACAAGGAAGGGGTGAGAAAGGAAACTGCCCATTACTCCAGTGCGTTGTGTTGCAGGCCAGGCTGCTGGGCTGGCAGTGTGTGTGAGGAACCCCAGGCAGCACCAGTGTGGATGGGGAAACTTGCTGAAAACACTTGTGATTTCTAAGGGGTGGCTGGTCCACAGGGGGATGCCCTGCTTGGAATGCAGCACAGTGATGGGGAAGCCTCGGGGGCGGTCCAGTCTAGGCAGGGTCACAGGCTGACAGTTAAGGTCTCTTATTTCTTACTTAACCTCTTGCCTTTGTCTCTCCATCTGTACAACAGTATTGGGCTCAGAACACATGAGGCAAATGCGATGAGTGAATAAAAGACAACAGCTGTTTACTGACTGTCGTGCCTGTGTGGGGGGGGGGGGGAGTGGCGGGGGGAAGGATTGGGGGGGGGGGGCAGGAACAGGGGTTCTAGTCACCAGGAGGAGGCTCTGCACATGGTCAGCTCCAATGCGGTCAATGTTGCTCAGCACGGGGCCGTCCAGGACACCGCGGATCCGCTCCCCTTCCTGCTGCAGTCGTGGCAGAATCAGAGTCTTAATCACCTGTTGGAAAGGAAGGGGACAAGCCAGGGCCCTCGGGTCACCACCGGGCCTTGCAGGTGGGGCCCTTGCCCACTAGGACCCACGATGCCTCCTTTCTTGCAGTGTTCCCCGCGCCGGGGGCCTCACATCGTGTCCGAGCTCTGCCAGGCCTGCGATGGAGCCATACCGCGTAGTCCATGGAGTCTTTTCGTCCACCCAGCTCTGCAAGGGGAAGGAAGATATACTGGGGAAAGGGGCCCAAGAGGCTAATTGTTAAGGAATAAGTCTCGCGAACACACTTATGTCGTAGATTGTTACGACACTACAGATGTGGCCCAGGTGCCAGTCCCTGTCCGTCTCCCGCATCTTTCCACTGTCACTTCCTCTAGCCACGCTGAACCGCCTCTGGTGTGGGTGAAGCTCTTTGTCCTGGTCACCACCCTGGGGTGGAGATACAAGATCGTCTACACTCCTCATTTTTGCTCACCTTGGTGAAGGTCTTGGTGATCCGGGACTGGATGTTGTTGGTGGTCGTGCTGAAATGCTTGCAGATCTGGGCCACGAGGCGGGCAGCAAAGTCCCGGAGTGCCCAGTGATTGTCCACATCTGGCCGCAGGCACAGCTGTCTGCTTACGATGCACGTCATCACAGCTGGAATCAACTCATGGACCTAAGGGAGAAGTGGCAAGTTGGCCAATTCTGAGGATGGCTTCCTGTTGGTGGCAACCAGGTGCCCCGACCCCAGGCTGAAAGGTGGGTGGGCAGGGCCGCTCACATATTTTTCTAGATACAGCGTGGGGTTGTCCATCAGCGCCTTCACCATGCGCATCAGGTAGATGAGCAGGGCCAGGTTGTTCTGCACCACATTCACACGGACCTGCGGGAAGGGGAAGTAACAGGGCAGTGAGACCCTCCGATGAGCTCCCCCCGCTGCCTCCTCACCGCCCGGAACCTCATCCTGGGTCCTGGCCTTCTGCCTCTTCTCACCCCCTCTGAGATGAAGGTGCTGAATCGCGGCAGCATCTGATAGAGCCCTGGGTCCGTTGCAATGCTCTGCAGCGCCTCCTGCAGTGGGGAGGGAGCAAGTGACGCGGGGGGGCAGAGATGGGGAGGGATTCCTGAAACTCCAGAGAGAAGGAATGCCCCAGGCGGGGAGAAGCAGGTCGGCAGGGCCTCACCGCTCTCTTGGCCTCACAGGAGCCCACACACGCTTCAGTGATCTCCTTGTAGTACAGCTGCTGCTCCACGGACAGCTCGTGGATACTTCGGGGCTTCAGTCGCAAAGGGGCCCCCTCCAGCAGGGGTGGTGCCTTCTTCTCTTTCCCTGTGTGAATTGCCAAGACAGGTTTGAACACGAAGGCTCCAGAAGAGGCCTAGAGCCGGACAAACCTTTGCTCCCTGCCCGGTGAGACCCAGGACCTGGCTCCTCTCAGGTTTCCTGATCCTTTCCAGGGCTCTCCAGCCATAGGTGTCACCCCTTGCCCTGCCCTCAGCCACCTCACAAATCGCCATCTGGCAGGAGCACCGAGGAGCCCAGCCTAGCAATACTGACCTTTGCCGTCGGCTGGAGCAGCCCCTTGACCTTTGCCTTTCAAGGGTCCATCTTCCTCCTGGCCTGGCTTTGCTGACTTCAGGGGTTCTGTGGCCTCAGCCTTCTGCTGCTCTTTGGGAGCTGGTGGGAAAGCCGTCACAGCAGGAGTGACAAGAGTGGCAGGGGATATAAAGGAAGGAGAGGGGACATGAGATAGAGAGGGGTGGGCCTTGGGCACAGATGAGGTTACCTGGGGGTGGGTTCTCAGGTATAGCTGGCTGGCAGCCTTCAATGCTCAGCCAATGAGCTGTGAGGAAAGAAGGTGTCAAGTTGAACGGCTGGACACGGACACTAGGGAGTCGCTCCATACCAGGAATGTGCTTTCCGTCCTGTCCCCACTTCCTGCAACTCCCTAGCGATCTCACGCTGAGGGCTTCTTCACTTGTGAGCCTCCTCAACCCCTTTTCCTCCTCCCCGCCACCCTGCCATCCCCGCCCCAACCTTTGAGGCAGACATCCAGGGGCACCCGGGGCAGAGGGGTATTGATGATGTCGCTCAGATCAACCTCCTTCTCCTCGTAGAAGTAAAGCTCCCGGCCCCCACCAGAGGCGAAACGAAAAGGAATGAACTCCTGGGCGTGGAAGCCATAGAGTGGCTGGATCAGGAGAGAGAGAGAAAGAGACATTGAGATGAGAAGGGAGCCCAAAGAGGCATGACTGAAGGCAAATGCAGTGTCAGGGAGGATGGGTCTCACCATCTTGCCCCCCACCAACCCTGCCAACCTCAGTCCCACGTGTCCCAATCACCTCGACATTCTTTAGCTTCAGCGCGTAATCGATGTCACTGGTGGTTAGCTTCTGCCGCTTCCCCATGTGCATGAACTTCAAGGCATCCTGGGGGTGGGAGAACAAACATCAACTCAAGAGCCTGAGGAAGAAGGGGGCCTGGGCAGCATTCTTAACACAACGAAGGGCTGGGTGGAGCGGTTGCGGTACCTGTGCAATCTCCTTGATGCGGTAGCTGACCTCGTCTGTCAGCAGCTGGCAGGTCTCCTCCTGGATCTGAGCGATGCCCATGGACTCGGCCACCACTTTCATCGACTCCGAGGGCAGCACGGTATTGCTGAGCTTCAGCTTCTTCTCCTCAGCCATTCTGGAGCCTCTCTCTCCCTCCCCCAAAGAGTGATACCCCGGGGTGGAAAGATGGGAGACCTGGCAGGGGTATGGGGTGGGCAGAAAAGATAAAAAATAAACGTGTCCATCTCCGTGTAATTAGTATTGGGTGTAAGAGAAGCAGGTAGTGATCTGACCCGGTTCAACAAAATGTACTGAGCTCTGATTCTGTGCCAGGTGCCATGCAAGTGAGATATACGAGAACAGACGTGTCTTCAATTTAAATCCTGGCCCTAGATTACTTAGCTGGGTTATTTGGGCAAGTTACTTACATCCTCCCAGCTTTGGGTTTCTTCCCAATGCAGGGCTTGAACTCACGGCCCTGAGATCAAGACCTGAGATGAGGTGTGCCTGGGTGGCTAGTCAGTTGAGCATATGACTCTTGATTTCCACTCAGGTCATGATCTCTTAGTTTATGAGATTAAGCCCCGTGTCAGGCTCCATGCTGGGTGTGGAGCATGCTTAAAATTCTCTCTCTCCCTCTGCCTGTCCCACCTCTTTCTCTCTCTCTCAAAATGAATAAACATCAAAAAAAAAAAAAAAAAAAAGAAGAAGAAGAAGAAGAAGAAGAAGAAGAAGAAGAAGACGACGACGACCTGAGCTGAGATCAAGAGTCAGACACTTGGGGTGCCTGGGTGTCTTGGTCGGTAGTGTCTGACTCTTGATTTTCGCTCAGGTCATGACCTCATGGCTTGTGGGTTCAAGCCTTGTGTAGGGCTCTGTTCTGACAGTGTGGAGCCTGCTTGGGATTCTCTCTCTCTCCCTCTTTCAAAAAAAACAAAAACAAAAAAAGAGTCAGATGCTTAACCAACTGAGCCACCCAGCGCCCCAATGATCGCAAACTGCCTGACAGTCATACCACACCTCAGTGCACTCAGTCCCCCTCTGTCCTACACGATACCACCTCTCCTCCGCACTTTACGCCATTAGAAGAGACCCCCATAGACCCCCACTGCATCCACCAACCTAACAGCACTGGTGCCCACATCTTCTGCCTTCCTGCCTGTTACCGTAGCGAAGCCATTCGTGCCCCTTGCCAACTCCAACACTGCTTCCATCTCCCTGCATCACCACCACGTTTTCAACCTACTTGGTCGATGGTTCCCATCAGCCTCCCAAACGCACTTATTTCTCCCTTCTCAAGAAAACAAGACAGTGGTCTATCCACACAACAGACTAGTATCGAGCCTGAAAAAGGAAGGTGATTCTGACACATGCTACGACATGGGTGAACCTTGAGGACACCATGCAGAGTGAAATAAGGGAGCCAGAAAAGGGCAAACAGTGTTATGATTCCACTCTTATGAGGTTCTTAGTGGAGTCAAATTCATAGACTCAGCAGAATGGGGTTGCTGTGGCTAGGGGAGGGAAGAATGGGGAGTTAGTGTATAATGACAGAGCTTCGGTTTTACAACATGAAGAGTTCTGGAGATGGATGGCGTGACGGTTGTAGAACATCATGAATGTATTTAATCCCGCTAAAGTGTACACTTGAAATGGTTTCAGATGGTGAGCTTTATGTTATGTGTATTTCACCACAATTAAAAATTTTAAATGTTAATTTGGGGTGCCTGGGTGGTGGTTAAGCATCCAACTTTGGCTCAGGTCATGACCTCACAGTTCTCAAGTTCGAGCCCCCCATCAGGCTCTGTGCTGACAGCTCAGAGCCTGGAGCCTGCTTTGGATTCTGTGTCTCCCTCTCTTTCCGCCCCTCTCCTGCTCACGTTCTCATTCTCTCTCAAAAACAAAAACATTTTAAAAATTTAAAAAAAAATGTTACTTTTCATTCCACTTTCTCTAGAAGAGCCCCATGTTTTGGCTCCTCCTTGCAACCAAACTCCCTGAAAGAATTATCCTATTTCTACTTCCTTTCCTTTCTTGCACCTACTCCAATCAAGCTTTTGACCCCACCAGGTCCCTGAAACAGCTCATCAAGGTCGCCGATGACTCCACACTGTGGAATCCAAGGTCCACTCTCTGTCATCATCAGACTTGACCTGCTGGCAGCATCTAGTATAGCTAGACTACTCCCTCCTGAAGACACTCTTCACGGCACTGCACCCTACCTTCTCCTGGCTTCCTCCTATCTCACTGGCCACCCCACCCCCCTCGGTTTCCTTGACAAGTTCTTCCTCTTCTCATCTTAAAAAAATACATAAATAAAACTGCCTAATGCTGGAGTGTCCTGGGCTCAGTCTTTGGTCTTCTTCCGTAGCTACACTTAATTTCTTTGGTAATGTCAACTACCCTCAATTTTCAGTATTGCTTACAGGCGGATGATGGCCAAATTTCTATCCCCAGCCCAGGGCGGTCCTCCTATCAAACTGTCGTGTTGTATATCAAACTGTCGACTTAAATCTCTTCTACAGCTGAACTCCTGATCTCTCGCTCCCCACCAGCTCCAGCCTGTTTTCTTCATCTTCATGGCAATGCCATCTATCCAGGCACTCACTCTTTTTTTTTTTTTTAATTTATTTTTGGGACAGAGAGAGACAGAGCATGAACGGGGGAGGGGCAGAGAGAGAGGGAGACACAGAATCGGAAACAGGCTCCAGGCTCCGAGCCATCCGCCCAGAGCCCGACGCGGGGCTCGAACTCACGGACCGCGAGATCGTGACCTGGCTGAAGTCGGACGCTTAACCGACTGCGCCACCCAGGCGCCCCCAGGCACTCACTCTTTATGTGAGCCCTCACATCAAATCAGTTGGGTGATCCAACCTGACTCCTCCACTCCCAACAGCATGCCCAAGTCACCACCATATCTCGCCTGGCTAATTCCAATAGTCTCCTGACAAGGTCTTCCTGCTTCCACCCTTGCTCCCCACATCTCTTCCTAACACAGCAGCCAGACTGATTCTGTCAAAACATAAATCAGACTGGGTCATTTTTTTGTTCAAAACCCTGGAATGGCTCCACATTTACCCTATAGTAAAATCCAAAATCCTAATTATAGTCTATAAGGCCCTTCATAATTTGCCCTCACTCCAATCACATCTCTGATCTGTTTTCCTTCCTTCTTCCATCTTGATCCAGCTTCATTCTCCTCCTGCTGTTCAAACCTCACAGGCAAAGCTCTTGCTTTTTGGCCTTTGCTCTTTTCCTTCTGCCTTGAATGTTCTTCCCCAGATGTTAGCTTGGCTGCCTAGTCCCATCACCTTATTTAATACCACACTCCAACGCCACTCTGCTCTTTTTTCCCCCACGGAAAAATTTAACATCTGCTAATATACACTGTATCATTTCTAATTGTTTATCACCACCACTACCTTCCCTTTGTGTTCACTGATGTATTCCAAGACCCCGGACTGGTGCCCGAGACACTGTACTCAGTAAATACTTGCTGAATAAATTAATGACGTGTAGGGCTTAGAGATGTAGGGGCTCAGTGAATACATGGCACCACTATTCTCTTGATGAACAAGATATAGGTCCAAGTTTGGAACCTGCTTTGTGGCCAAAAGGAGAGTGGCTCGCTTGGAGTTAGCATTAGGAAGACTAAGGTCAAAGTGTTTAGGACTGACGGTGAGGCACTGATGGGGGCGTTCTGGAGGGGTGAGCACGGGGGCCAAAGAGAATTTGGTCTCCGCCTCCACTGTTTTAAGTCGTACGTTCATGGAAAACATTTATTCAACACATACTGTGTGCCCGGCACTGGGTAAACAAGACGCTGTCGTGTCCCAGGTCAATGGCGAACTCTTACTAATCCTTCAATACCCTCCGTACCCTCTGCCAGTAAACAGCTCACGAAACACGCTACGGCCTCAGGAGCCCCTCAGGTCAGTGGAGTCGGCAGGAAAGCTTCACAGAACATGGTTAACATGAGCTAGACTTCGGTAGTGGCCTCCCCGGCAAGGAAGCGAGTCGAAGGTCCCCAGGCAACGGGTACAGCGCGAAAGAAGGCGCTTGAGAGCCCACCTCATCCCCCCAACATCCCCCAATGCAAACATACACGTACGGAGTCCCCTCGCGCACGGACACACAACCCACCGCCCTCCTCCCGGTTCCCACATGGGCCCTTCAAAGGGCCTAGTTCCGGGTAGCACTCAGACCCTTCCCCGCCAGCCGAACGCCCCACGCATTAAAAGTCTCTCACCGCCGCCAAAGCGCCGCTCACCCGGCGCTCGGCGCCATGTTCGCCCCGCCCCCTCCCGGGAGCAGGTCCTGGTAGAGACGGAGAGCAAGTCACTGCCCCTTCCCTGAGCCGGAATGAGTCTCCTAGGCTCACGGCCTGAAGTGGTATAAAAAACGGGTTTCTCTGTCTACGTGTAAGGAGCACATACTCCTGCTGCAATTAACTTCAGTTTATTCCTTCACTACCCGGCGGCCAGGACCCCAAGAGGCGCCACAAAACCGAGGCGGGACAGCCAGGAGCGCCATGAGGCTCCACCTCCTTTCCGGCCGGGACTGCGCGTGCGCCTCGCAAGCCAGGCTGGCTAGAAGTTCCCGCCGACACCGCCTCGAAATTTAAAGGGCCCGCTGCCTTCACGAAGTTGGTTTGAAGGCAAGGGGTTGTTGGTTTGGAGAGCACTTTGTCATGGGACCTGTGCGGTTGGGAATGTTGCTTTTCATTTTGGCTGCGTACGGCGCTTGGGTTGGGACGTCGAAGGAGGACGATGACACAGAACGCTTGCCCGGCAAATGCGAAGGTATCTGAAGGGAGTAGCTAGCCCCTATTCGCATCCCTCTGCCCATCTCTTTAGTCTGGGCCGAACCAAATGGACCATGATGGGTGGGTCACTAGATCTCTTTGAAGACCTCAGGGAGACTCTGGCTGAATTTGAAGGGGGTCAAAGGAGGGAACGTAGAGCGCTACCCCACAACTATGGCACTACAATTCCCATAGGACATCCAGAGGGAGCCCGCTTTTTCTTAGTAGCGTAGCCCCAGTGATTTGTGGGAATTGTAGTTCAGAGATCGTGCCCAGGATCGCCCACTTTACTGAGCATCTGAAGTGTGTGTTTCCCCCATGTCACTAAACCTAAGTCTGGGGAACCTGCAGGAGCTGGGTATGAGGCTCATACCTTTTGGCCATCCTCTGCTCCACCCTTTCAGAGACGCTCTCAAATTACAGGCTCCACGCTCTCCTGGGGCAGGTTTGGAGGTAAGGAAATAAGCCCTTGAAGCTCATAAAGGAGAGAGGAGGCCACATAAGTGGAGGAGGTTCCCTGTAGGTGTAAGGGTTTGCAGAGGATGTATACTTATGGATTTTGCTGTGAACAGCATCTTATATGGCTGCACCACAGCGGTGGGGGACGTGTGCAGCTGAGAAGAGACACTTAAGAGCTGGGCCATTGAGGGCCGTGGTTCCCTAGTTTGTTGCTTTCCTGACTTTAATTTCTTCCCTGGATTCTTTTTCCCTTCACCTCACTCCACAGTGAATTTCATTATCAGTATTCTGCATGACCTGGACCTAACCTCTCCTTCATTTGTGTCCCTGCTTTTCTCCCCACGCCTGTCATTTTTCTACACACAGACCTGGTCATGTCAGTCCTTGCTGTAACATCTCTGCAGGCCTCCTGCTGTGGTCGGAATACAGCCATTTTTGACACAGTCTCTGTTGTATGGTCCCCACCTCTCTTACATTTCGGTACCTCAACTCCCTTCCTCAAAGTGCCCATGCTTCAGCCTCGCTGAGCTTCTCACCTGTCACCGAGCCTGCCTTATCCTCTTGCACCTCTGTGCCTTAGCACACTGTTTTTCCTTTTGCCTGGAATAACCCTCTCCCTTCTGCATTTGGTTCTTCAAGGCCCAGTTCAGATGTCAATTCCTTTGGAGGCCTTCTTCCTTTTGTCACCTCCCACTATATTGTTAAGCCCGTGGAGGAAAGGAGAGTACCTGTCTCTGAGGTCCTAGCGTAGTGTCTGGAACATTTCAGGCACTTTTGTTACCTGCCCTGTGTTTAGTTTGCGTGGCACTTCTGTATAGGCCACTCCCTTTTTTTGGGACCCACCTCATGCCAGGCCAGGTGCTATTTGCTGGAAGACAGTGGTGGAACATACACAACGCTCATCCTTAAGGAAATCACAAGCCGGTAGGAAGTCAACACATGACAATTTCATGAATTTTGCATTTCCTAATGAGATTAATTAAATCTGTTAACCTCTAGTGCAGGGCCCATCACAGCACACTGTCATCATTTTATTTGTCCCCAACTGCATCAGCAATGTCTTGTGGATGGGGTCATGGGTCTTATTGCTATGTTGCTGTTGTACATATAGGAGCTCAATAAATAACTGCAGAATAAAAGCAAACACATACAGTGCTCACTATATGCCAGGCACTATCCTAGGGGCTTTATGTAGATTGATCTATTTAATCCTCACATCCCCCTCCACAGGAGGTCCTATTATATTATTATCTCCATTTTAGAGATGAAGAAGCCAGGGCACAGTGGAATTGTCACATAGCTATTAAGTGGCTGAGTCAGTATTGTAACCATGCCAGTCTGGCTCCACGGTCTGCACTTGTAACCGTCACGTTCTGCTGCTTTTGCTCATCTACAGAATGAGTTGCTGGTATGTTTGTTTGTCTTTCACATCCTTTTGGACATCTAGTGTGTAAGCTGCTAAGCCTGGAGCTACAGGAAGAGCTGAGTCGCACTGGCCGATCTCGAGAGGTGCTGGAGCTGGGGCAGGTGCTGGACACGGGCAAGAGGAAGAGACATGTCCCTTACAGTGTTTCGTGAGTTCTTTTTGGTGCTCCCTTACCTTCCAACCCCTGAGGGAGCCCTGGGAGTGCCTACAGCATCCAAGGAGTCTTTGTTTCCCCTCTTCCCACAGAGAGACAAGGCTGGAAGAGGCCTTGGAGAATTTGTGTGAGCGGATCCTGGATTACAGTGTTCACGCTGAGCGCAAGGGCTCACTGAGATATGCCAAGGTCAGACCCTTCCCTAGGGCAGCATTCCACTTTTCAGAAACAACAATGGATATCCCCTGGGACCCATCTCCCTCCAGCTCTGGAGAGTGTCACCACCCCATTGTTAGACTCCCTCATCTCACCCTCATGGAGCTCACCCCTGGGTCTCCAGTAATTGACAGTGCTGATATGGCAGAAAGGGGAAAAAAGAGGTGGGGCAGGGGGCTCGGCTGATTCTAGATTCCTATCTTTCAGGGTCAGAGTCAGACCATGGCAACACTGAAAGGTCTGGTGCAGAAGGGGGTGAAGGTGGATCTGGGGATCCCTCTGGAGCTGTGGGACGAGCCCAGCGTGGAAGTCACATTCCTCAAGAAGCAGGTAGGATGGGGTAATGCACTGCCAGGGCAATGAGAAGGGAGCCTGAGGGGAGAGCTAGATCCTAGGGAGGTCTACCTCTGAGCAGAGAGAAGGGGGCAGAGTGAGGACTCTATCATTGATTGAAGTGGGCCCAGGAGCATATCAAGGAGTAATAGTAGAGGCTAATAATATCTACTACCACTTACTGAGCACCTACTATGTGTCAGATTCAGGCTCCCATACCTTCCAGCTGCTGCCTCATTTTCCTCTCAAAGCACCCTCACACGGTAGGTACTATTACCATTTCCCATTTTATAGGCAAGAAGCCTGAGACATAGAGTTTAATAGTCTACTTGGTAGAACAGGTACTAGTAAATGTTTGATGAATGAATGAGGACCACACAGCTAGTAAGCAGAGTTTAGCCTCCTGGCTACCTGCCTCTTCAAGGTAGGGTGGGCAGAAAGGGAGTGAAGAGTAGAGAGGAGGGTTTCCAAAGCCCAGCATAGTTCCTTCTGACCCTTCCATTTGATCAGTGTGAGACAATGCTGGAGGAGTTTGAAGATGTTGTGGGAGACTGGTACTTCCACCATCAGGAGCAGCCCCTACAGCATTTTCTCTGTGAAGGTCATGTGCTCCCTGCTGCTGAAACTGGTAAGTGTGTGGGACTGGCCCCCTTCCTGCCAGACCACAACCTCCCAGGACTAATACCTACATTGTTTTCTATCACCTAACCTAGCGTGTCTACAGGAAACTTGGACTGGAAAGGAAAAGATCACAGATGGGCAAGAGAAGACAGAAGAGGAGGAGGAGCAAGATGAGGAGGAGGAGCAAGATCAGGAGGAAGAGGAAGGGATGACTAACACACCAGGGCACCCCAAGCGTGACCCAGAGGATCTTTGACCCCTGCTTTTGTTTGAGTCCTCAGGAGGGGCAGGGGTCCTGGAGAAGAATCCTCTGAAGTCTGAGCAATCCCTTCCCTGCCCCACATAAGGGTTTGTGTGTATGTGCGAGGGATCCCACCCCAAGGCTTGTAACTGTTCTCTCCTATCTGGTCTCAGGCAGGATCCTGGTGGTGCAGCATGGCATGGCTACGGGGACAAAGGTGGGAGCAGTAGGTGGAAGGCCTGCGCCAACAGATCAGCCCTCTGCCTGCCATCTAGCCCCTTAACTGTCAGGTGTGTGGAGGGACAGTATTGAAGGCTTTCCCCTTTAAATATCTCTCCTACTCCCCACCCCACCCAGAGGTCAATGAAGGCATTGGAGCTGTGGGCCTTAGGAAAGTCACTTCGCCCCTCGGGGGTCTGTTTTTAGACCCTTCCGAGGAAGAAGCCAGCGCGGACATTCTCTACGACCTATACACACGCTGCCTGCATCTAGGAGGCTACAAGCCAACAAATTTAACACGACGGGGACACTGTATCAGGATGGGGTGATGTTGATAAGTGGGGTAGATATTTGGTCTACTTCATATTAATTTCACCGAGGGCCCACCATGGGATTTCACAGGTGCCAAATTTTCTATATCGCTAGTAAATTTTTTAAAAATACCAGCTGAGCCTGTAGTTTCAAACAACTGACCTGCAAACAACATAGCTAGCAGATATGGCAGCGCCCACAGAATAAGCCGTTGGTCGCCGTCTGTTAGAAGCTAGTAGTGTTTTGTAATTTGCAGTTCAGGGAGACTAGCAGGGGTCCCCGGCTGATAACTACTTAGGCTAGGATCTGTGCGGCCCCTCTCGGCGCCTGCGGGAGAATACCCTGGAATTCAAAATCAGCGTGCGGGAGCGCGCGTCGGCCACCATACTCTGGGCTTACGGGAGCTCGCTGGGGACAAAATCCCTCACGCTTTTCCGAGGGCCGGTGTCCCCACAGAGAGGCGAGAATTAAGAGAAGCGGTGAAACTAAGTCCAAGACAGGGAACGGCTCCGGTTAGAATGAGGGGAATAAAGAGGATATCCTTAGGGGAGTGATGGGTGGGGACCTACCGCATAGGAGCGTGACGACGGCGGAAGACACTGAGGGACTGGCAGGAGAGCTCACCCTAAGGGATGACTGGACGATACCATCTACGGGAGGGGGTTGGGGCGATACCACCTTAAGGGTGCGAGGGGGCGTGGCAAAGAACTGAGACTTGGAAGGTGCCACGCGGCAGAGGCAGGCGCGTGTGGGAACCCGAAGGGACTGGACAGTCCCCCATAGCCCCACTTTCCTTCCCCAGCCGTCCTTCTGCCATGACCGGTCTAGTGCAGACCGAGCCGCTGCTCGGGGAGCCGCCTCTGCTGGTGCGCGGCGACCCCTACTCGGTGGTGGTCCTTCTGCAGGGCTATGCGGAGCCCGAGGGGGTGGGCGAAGCGGTGCGCGCCGACGGATCCGTGACCTTGGTGCTGCCTCAGGCCTGGGGCCCGGCTTCCAGCCACCGAGAGTCCCTGCCCGAGGGCGGCGGGGCGAAGACCGCCCTGGAGGAGGCGGCCCGTGGTCCCATCCTCGTAGACACCGGGGGCCCTTGGGCCCGGGACACACTCCTGGGGGCCCTGGCGCGGCAGGGCGTGGCCCCCAGAGACGTGACTCTGGTGGTGGGCACCCATGGACACTCGGATCACATCGGGAACTTGGGGCTGTTTCCCGGGGCGGCTCTGCTGGTCTCTCACGACTTCTGCCTCCCCGGGGGCCGCTACTTCCCCCACGGGCTAGGTGAGGAGCGGCCCCTGCGGCTGGGGCCAGGGCTCGAGGTGTGGGCCACGCCGGGCCATGGGGGCCAGCGGGACGTGAGCGTAGTGGTGGCGGGCACGGTCTTGGGCACCGTGGTGGTGGCGGGCGATGTGTTTGAACGCAGTGGAGACGAAGACTCGTGGCAAGCGCTGAGCGAAGACCCGGTGGCCCAGGAACGGAGCCGGAAGAGGGTCCTAGGCACAGCGGACGTGGTTGTGCCTGGTCACGGAGCCCCCTTTAGGGTGGTCAGGGAAGCCCCTCAACCACCGAACTGACGTCCAGGAGAACAGAGGACCCAGTCGGCTGAGTCGGAGGAATCAGGGGTGATGGCTTCCAGCTGTCGCAAGAAGCTGGTTTTCCAGCAAGGACAGTCACCGATATCACTGCAACCAAACTAGGACCAAGCACTGACTCAGCCGTGTGCCACCTCTTTGGGCCTCCGTAAAATGGGAGAGTGTTCTTGGGAGAGTCGTCCAAAATAAAAATAGAAAACTGTATGGAAAATCGTACGGCCCTCATGTAAATGCGAATCATTAATAATGACAATCCTGAAATTTGGTAGTTAGCAGCTGCATCAGGGGGACACTTTGGCCAATTGCTTATTTCTCATAAGATAGAGATTTGCTGTGAAGGTGCAGGGCATATAAGTAACACCTTAGTCATGTGATTATCATCCATCTGTTCAAGGAATATTTAACAACCTGCAATGTTTCAAACACTGCCCTAGGTCATGGGGATGCAACAGTGAGCAAGCTAGACAAACTCCCTGTCCCTTATGGAGATTACATTCTAGAGACAAAGACAAGTAAACAACAATAATAGTAAACCAAATAATTACAGATTGTGAATAGTGACATGAAAGAAAAGGAGGGCAAAGGGCATGGAGTGCCAAGATGGGAAAATGACCTCTTTTATTTAAGGTCGTCAGGAAGAGCCTCTGAGGAGATGATGTTTGATCAGGGAACCAAATGAGAAGAAAGCCAGCCATATGAGGATCTGGCAGTTGTGCATTCCAGGCACAGGAACAGCAGGTATAAAGGTCCTGAGGCAGGACAGCTTGACCTGCTTGAGTAGCAAGACTATGGGGTTAGAATGTAGAGTGCCAAGGAAGAGTGGCAACAAATGAGGACAAAGAATTAGGCCAGGCCATCATGGACCATGGTTAAGGGTTTGGATTTATACTGAGAGAGAAGCCTTTGGCTTTTGAGCAGGCTAATGACTTGGCCTCATTTATGTTTTAAAGTAACTACTCTTGTTCTACTAATTCTAAAGTTCTACTCTGAGTGGAGAAGTGGTCAGAGTAGGGCAAGAATAGAATCAGCTGGACTGGTTAGGAAACTACTGTAGTCTTTCGGGCAAGAGAAGTTAGTGGCACCTGCTCTTCTCCCAGAAATGCTGTTCTGGCTGTGGCCCTCTTTACAGCTGTGCCCCAGGCCCTCCATCCACACAGTGTCAGAACCCACAGAAACACTCGGGGTGGCGCAGATGAAGGAGAGGAGCAAGTCTACCTTGTTGCGGATGATGAGACACCCTGGGTGGATGCTGTGGCGGCAGGGCCAGACTGAGGGTTATTTTCCAGGCATCCACAAAGGCTAGGTGGAGGTCACCAAAGGCAGCTCAGAGGAGCTGGTTAACCTAGAGGGTGAACCAGTACCTGCCATACATAGACTCGTAGTTGGTGTTGACCAGTTTGATGACCACAAGAGTGCACAGTTCCCAGGCCAACGGTGCAGCCACAGCTGCCCAGATCCCTGCCAGTCATCAGATAAAGATAAATGAAGTGAAGGTGGCGATGTGGGCACCCAGCCTCAGAACTATCATGGTGTGGGGGCCCCTGGCCAGGTTCCCCACCTTCTGGGCCACAGAGTGCGGGGAGGCCACTGGTGTGCGGAGGGAGTGTAGGGGCCAGCTGTGTGCTCACCAATGCAGCACTGTGCCCTGAGTGATCTCCATGGCCCCATCTGATATGTGTAGTGTAGATCCAATAGCTTCAGGTCTATGAGGGGGATGAAAAGGAGGGGATGGGGGTTATAGAGAACTATGCCCTTTCAACTTGTACAAATAAAAATTCCAATCCCGACTTACTTTCCATAACATGGTACTCTTGCCCATGATTCTGGTCTGGTCATCTAGAGCCAACACATCTCTTTGGCCACACTGACTGTCTCCACAATGGACAGGTCACCTAAGCTAGTCCAGGCTTGGTCATCTTAGGGGTTTTGCTGGAGCTAGTGGAAAAGAAAAGTCAAGTTCTTTCCTGAAAGACTGACATGGGAGATGTATGGAAGTGTGGAATCACTATATTTACATACATCACTATATGAAGTGATGCTACACTGAAGCTAATGCTACACTGTATGTTCACTAACTGGAATTTAAACAAAAACTTAAAAAACAAAAAACAAAAACACCACACTGACCTGAGAGGATAGGTCATTTGCCGCTCTGTGGGAAGAGCCCATGGCTCTGGGGCCAAGTGGAGGCTGAGAATGAAGCTGAACTGTAGGGGGCAGAAATGAGCAGTTATGAGAAATAGACCCCGGGGAGAAATCTGAGTGCTGAATTCAAGCCAGATCCGCTGCTGAACTCTCTTGTGTAAATTCTTAGGGAAACTTGACCCATATGATTAGATACTTGTACTTGCAAATATTCAGTGGCTCCACATCGCACACTTTCTCGTCCAGTCATCTCTGAGACAAACTTTCCCTGCTCCAGTTTGGCAGGACTGCCTGCTTCCTTCCAGACTCCTCTACTCCTTCTCTCCTGCAGCCCTTTGATCCTGCTCTATTCCTGCTGGCCTCCCTCTGTTCTGTACCATCCATCGATCCAGGCTCAACTCAGCTCATCTACAGAAAAACCTCCCCTGATTTTTCCAGCTCTTCTTTAAACTCTTGCAGTGCATTCTCTGTATTATTCACTTAACATTAGATATACCCAGTGTTGATAATTTTTTCTGGAAATGTCCTCTCCTCATTGTGCCCTTTGAGAGCAGAAACTAAGGAAAAAACAAAAAAACAAAAAAACTTCTCCGAATGCTCCAGAGCTTGTGTTATGCCTACAAATGCCATGTAATAGACACATGCTATTTTTTCTCAGCTCTGACTCCTTGCCCAGGACTTCAGGGTCTGTCTCTGCCTATTCTCTGGAGAAGTTCCAGTATCCTGTGCACTCTGCGAACAAAGGGGTGCCACTCAGAGCCCTCCTGTTCACCTCTTCCTATATGAAGCTCCAGGTGTCTTGCCAGAGGGCTTTGGGGCCGGGATCCCAGGGTGGTATGGGAGTTGATGGATCAAAGCTGTAGGAGGGAGAAAAACAGAACAAGCTAAATAACGGGAAGCTCCCCAAAGCAAGGCTGCAGGAACCAGCCTGTCTGAGGACAAATAAGCCAGGATGCAGCCAAAGGGCCTGCCCCCACCAGCCCATCTTGGGGCCTGTCCCATGGTGGGGAAAGAAGGCTCAAAGTGTCCTCAGGAGGCTGGAAGTGTCCCCCATGACAATGAAGCCTCCAGTGACCTGGACCTGGAGCAACTCCTGGAAGATGTTGGAGAAGAGCCGGAGCAGCTGGAGGAGCCACAGTGTGGAGATGACCCTGGGGAGTTCACCACGACCTTCTTTGAGGAATAGCTGTGTGCTCCTGCCTCACCCGCTTCCACAGGAGCAGCAGAGAGAGCCCCTCAGAGGGTCCCTGAG